TTTCAGGGTTTTTCATTTTCCTTGCTTTTGTGGCAAATAAGAGGACACTTGTTAAAGTCAAATGCGCGTGGGGATCGCTTTCCAAGTCTGATGGATCGACAAACACCACCTCAAACACTGGCAGGAACAGGGGAACAAACACAAGCAAGGACGAACAATTAGCTGCAACTACTGCTTTGTAAACAGGACGCTGGGCTCTTTGTTTGTGGCCCTAAGTTTCCTAACACAGTCTACCACTGAAATGACAGATGGCATCATTACAGGCTGCCTTGTTGATGCCGTTTATGTGTTTTTCCCCCGCACCTGATTTTGCAGAAATCCGGGATCATGAAAAACGAAATAAATCTAATTAAGCTTTGGTTATAAATCATAAAAATTGTTCCCTTCTAAAAAGTAAACGCATATATATTTTTGGTTTGCTAGAATCCTTGTCTTGGGGTGATGCGACCTTTTGGAGCATTAGTGTGTAAATGCGCACGTTTCTGCGGTTCGTTTCTTGGCACTAACGTTCAACTTAACACCAATAGAGTGACTTGAAGATAAGTAGGTCCTCCATAGTGAATTGTGATTGATATTCCTTGTACAAAGAAGACGTTATAAGAGCAATTTCCGAAATTCAGCAATCGTAAGTAAAAGATCATGGTCAATAAAGAATTTACTATATGGCCAAATAATTGTCATCCCCAACGGGTTGAAAAGGTCAATCTTAACATCCGTTCGAGTAGCCAATCAGGACACATAATTCGTTTCATCTTGCCACACGCATCTAGCCAAATAATAAATTCCGTTTTTCTTTGTTTGATTTGTTGTATTTTTACCTTAAAGTACCAATCCCACTGAGGTTAAACAAAAATGAGCTTAATTTGCAGCAGAAAGTGTAAGTCTAGTCTTTTATACCATGGATGCGAAGTTAATGTTCGAAGCCAACAAACAGGTAGGAACTGTTAGGGCATTTTAAACTCTGTAGGCTGTCGTAACTAACAGCGCCATCGGCTATATGTTCCTTCTCTTGTTAGAAACATTTTTAACAGTTAGCTTTGCTTTAGCATGCGTAACATTAACTCCTTTACGTAAATTTCTTCGTATATTAAACCTAAACATTTTCTACCCAAAACCACTGCTGCACAGCACGTATGTATGACTAACAGAAAAAATGTATGAACTTTCAGATCGTTAAATTCGTGCGGTGCAGCTGTTGTGCTCGAATTTTAAAATTTGTTGACTTCTTTGAATATTCGACCATTGCTGCAAAGATATCAATACTAAATTACCCACCATGTTGTGAGAGAAGCTGATATAATACGTTTCACAGCCAGTACGGACATTATACAGTATTTCACCCCCAGTTTCGTATTCTAAGGTAAATTAACTTAAACCGATGGATACAATGCTCGATATTAATAACGCAGCTGTTTCTTTGTCTTATTCTTGGTTCCAGTGATGTAAAATATTTTTCTTTGGTATGTTAAAGCATTTCATATGTTGTATCGTTAAGTACTAAACGTGCGACAAAATATTAAATTGCTCGTTTCGGTCGAAATATAAGAAAAAAAAAAAGCCTCTTATCACGTAATTTCCGATGAGTCACACAAGCGAAAACCCAAGGCTGACGAAAGGGGAAAAAGGGAAAGGGAAAAAGCTATGCATCTATTAAGCGTCTGCCCTTAACCAACCAAAATTGTCAAGAGGACGTGCAGTAATAAACTGTTAAGCAATTCCTTGTCTATCTGCACCCTGGATGCAAACACAAGTCAAAGCAACGATGCTGGTGAACAAACTGTTCCCTTTTTTTTTACTTTTCCCAGAATTTGTATGGAAAATCGTTTCTTCGTGTTGACCAACAAAGCAGCGATTTGAACCGCAAACCGGAAACAGATTTAGCAGGCTTTTCGCTTGGAACGGCCCTATCTTTGTTTGTTTTTAAATTGTACTAGTTTGGTAGGATATTTCTTGAGCTCTACGAATTGAATGGAGTTCAGGGCTATCCAGTGAACATACAAATAGATGTCGTAGCGAAAGAAATAGCCGACAGTTCTAGCAAACACAGCTTGAAATGGATTCTCCAAGAATGCCGATTTTGCCACTTACTCTATTGGGAAAAAAAAAAAGATGAGGGGGTGGAGAAGAGAGTGTAAGGAGTATGAAATTCGAAAAAAAAAAAAGATAGGCTTCCTTTCATTTTTTTTTCGTGAAACTAAACACAGGTCAATCTTTTGGATATTATACTTTCCTGTTTCGTTCCGAATTAAACTGTATGTCTTCATAGTTTTCTCTTTTCTTTAATGATTACGAAGATTACTATAAATGGTTCGTTGGAAGGAAAACTTGTAGCTGTGCTGATGTGTCGTCTTCAACTAGGCAAGAGCCAACTTGGCCCCAGTTAATGTCAAGATGGCGTATTTTTTGTTATCATGTGACGTAATAGTCTGTTGTGTGATTAAGACATGCCAAGTCCAAGTAATTAAGAATACTACTACAAGAAATGCATAACATTAAACAAACAAACATAAACAAAAAGACAAAACAAGGAAGTTAACCATGCGGCCTAAACTACATAGATTTCACACCTTCCCCAACTTAATCGCGTGTAGACACTTTACGCTTACCAAATTGTCATAAATGTTTGCTTTATCTCTCAGTGTGAAATCGCAGCCTTGAGAACTCTGCGTGACAAATAATGTATTGCTTGTCTTTGATATGTCTTCTTTTTGGCCTGTTCTTTTCCACGGGAAGAGGAATGTTCACTTCCATCTGCAAGTTCAGGAGGGCCCGGTTAGTCATTGTAATGTTTCAATGTTGTGAATGTTTCAATGCTTTTTATTAACGGAAGAAATCAAATTGGTTAATCTCCTTCATATAAATCCTCATTGTCATCATCATCTTTATGTTCATCATCGTCATGGCCATTCGCAACGTAAGAAATGACAAGCAAACTAGGCCGAGTTAACCCTTAGACGTACGTGGATCCCCCCCCCCCCCCAACCCGCCCCCTCCTAATAAGGTCTTTCTTATTTTTTTCTAAGAGGATGAAAATAGGCACCTGATGTTTTCAGTAGCTGTTCGTTCATCCCTCGCGCAGATTTTGAGTCAAGTTTAGTGATGGCCAGCTGCTACGGTTACGAGATTTTACGTCAAAAGTAGCTGGTGGTCAAGTCAATTTTGGGTCAAAGTGCTTATTTATGTGTTATTTTTTATGTAAAGCACAAAATATTACCATTTCTCGAGGTTTTAACCTGATTTCCAATTCTTGTTACAATCCAAGATGGCGGCAAAGATGGCGACCATTGTTGGTGACGTCACGGGCCTCCAGCAGCGCCATCGCCCATAAAACATACCTCCTCTTGTTAAAGGGACACAGTCAGCTATGGGACCGCGCTGACCTGGACACTACTTTTGCCAGTTTGAAAAGCGTTTACCTCAACCTGAAATCAAAGCTACGCGTCAGATACATCTAGAAATCCGCTTCAATCCTGCCTAGTGTCTCATTCGATCCTCGATCTTTTACTGAAAACCTCTTTTGAGCAAACTTTTACTCATCCTATTACATTATTTTATCACATTTTCTTTAAAACAGTATTGAAAGGAACACGAACAGAAGAGGGAAATCGATGGGAGAGGTTACATATATTTGGAAAATCAAGCTTTCTCTACGTTGAACCTTCAACAGTGATTCAGACTTGCAATTGCAATTTGCGATTGTCCAATTTTTCACCTCTACTGATGTTCGAATTCAGAAGTATTCGTCTATGTTTGGATTTCTCTGGAAAAATCCATCGGTAAATTCCCAATGGTATATAAAAAGATGAGTGCTCTAATACGGCTTAGGGTCTATAATCACGATTTCCGCTTGTAACTAACTTCAACTAACTAAACTTCAAGGTTTGTTTAAAGTATTCGGGACACGCTTCTCACTTTCTGTTTCACGCGCGTCTTCTGACATGTAAATCAGCTAAGAAATGGTACGTAATGCGCATGTGCATCAGCTGACCTTATCCCTCTAATAAGATCAAAGGCTTTCTACTAAAGGTAAAATCGTTTCAGAATACTGCAACGTATAGAAAACTCCGTGGAGGGGTTCTATCCACCCCTCCTTGTACTGTGGTGGGGTTATAAACTTACGTGTACGTCCGAGGGTTAAATTTCGCAAAGACTTCTGGAACTGTTGCTGAGGACAAGAGAAAAAAAAATTGGACAATAGCTGACCGGTGCGTACCAGTAACGACCTTAGGGGTTTTTTCGAACGTTAACTCACCCCAGTTTCCTTCTGGTTTCTAAACTGTCGAAGAGGACATACAAGCAAACTCAGGATCATTGTATCTTTTTTGGGGAAACTGCCCACCTGTCCCTCCCCTAAGCCAACATGTTGCCCTAAGTGAGAAGTAGGCGTTATAGCGCAATTCTTTGTATCGCGCTGCGCGTTTTGCAACTTTAGAAGGGATTTGGGGTTTTTCTGTTCCGTCTTTCATTTTAGTCAAGGCGGGGTTAATGCAAATCACAATGTAGCGTACACGCCCAGCTTGGCTGACTGACTCTAGACTGCTCAAAAATAGTGAAGGAAATCGCGATACAATTCTGATTCTCATTTAAAGGAAGTATAATGACCACAATCATTAAAAAAATCCTGCTTTGTCATGCATTCGGAATTCGAATACATCTATAACCTGAAGCAAACTGACGCCAGGGAGACACTATGATATTTGATTGCGCAGTTTCTGGATGATGCTGACCTTGATATAAAGTTATGAAGGTGATTAACACTCTACTAAATGTGTATATTTTTTCACACCAAAGCAGAACTAGATATTTTCTAGATGCAAGGGTATTCTGCAGGGCTGGTGCAGCAGCCAAGACCTTGCTTTAGTTCTTTCTTGTTTTGCTCCAAAACCTTTTGATAGCTTTGGGAAATGACGTCTTATTAATTGATTTCAGTGTCTAGAGACTTGGTGATCCAGTTTTATGACAAGATTATCAGCACACAAGAGCTTCTTATCAAACTTAATATGACCCGCTACAGATTTTCTGTGAATAACTTATGCCCCTCACCACAATACTCCTGTGAGGCAGTTTGCCGACTGAATGGAAGCAGCCAGGCTCGAGAAAGGATATTTCAGAAACCTCGTTACTGCGATGAGCTCTGCCTTGAGCTTGGTGATTGTTGTTATAACTATTTTCAAAGGTAAGCTAAATTACACGCTCGCCATCCATCTTTAGATTAATCTTAAAACTGAGGACTTTTGTTTTTTTGTATTTTTTTTTTTCAGTTAAGGAATGAGCAATTAAGTTAAACCCGCCCTCAGGTTCACATGCCTTGGTCTTTCTTTCATTGCGCCTACTCAATAGTTTCGGTATTTTCAAAGATACAAGTATCCGAGGTTTTTAAGGTGTGGTAGACGGTCATTTAAAATAGTTAAAGCCTTATTTGCCATATGGTTGCAAAAAATTCCTCGAGTATAATTCCTGAGTTCCTTATCCAAGTTCAGAAAAAAGACAGGGAAAAAAATATCCCTTTGTTTCCAGGCTCCCACATAAACGTCACCCAGTTTTATGTATATATATGTATGTGGAAAGAAGTGTACGTGGTCGTTCAAGCTTCTCTTTATTAGTACTGGTCTTATACGGAACACTTGCAAAGGTTGAGTCCACTGCATCAGTTATCTAACATTAATTTTTCTTTCCTTTGTCATTTTTGACCTTCAGATGTGTGGCTGACCTTACACCGAGGCGTCACCTTTTAGGGCATGTCTGTGTTAAGGCCGGCAATACAGATTTTTATGGCTACACAATGATTGGCAGCTGTGCATCAGACAACTCTTATAAGAACTTGCAAAATTTATGCACCTCAACATCTTCTCCTTTAGAGCTGCCCGTCTTCGCCTTAGGCGACAACAGCGTTTACAAGAATATTTTCTGTGCCAAATGTAATGGCGCCAATAATCCAGTTTACTGGAAGTATTCTGCTTTCTGTGACAAGGCGTTTCATCACGGCAAGCGATATTCCAAAAAACAGAAGCATGATGTTGAACTTTTTAACAAAGAATTGCGATTGGAAATTTGCAGTTCCGCGTGCTAACATAAACCTAAAGAAATGTTTGTCGGTTAAGGACAAGTGTAGAGAATCTGAGCCAGAAAATTCACTATTATCCAGTCTCTGTTCCTTTTATGCCTTTCCCGTTTGTTAAAATATTCAAAGTAAAAATCCTTATTGTGAGATGTGCCGCGGAAATGACATCAGTGCCTTTTTGTGCAACTGCAATCCCCGTCCCAACACTATTAATCCAACTCCGGCAGGTGAAATACCACCATCTTTGGATATTTTATTTGATTTCTCGTCTTCCTCGGATCATACTGTAAAAATAGGGGATAAAACTACCATTGTAACGAATAGGGAATGTAGTCATGGTTTTCTGTATAATCCATTTACAGAGAAATGTGTAAGATTGCATGTTGTGGATCCCACAGTTAAAAACAACGGATCCTTTACCGATTACAGCTGGAAAGGATCCGGCTGTGTTAAAGTTGGCATAAGTTCCGTAACTGTTTTACCAAATGGCTCAATATGGATCCCATTGCATAAGAGAACATACAACAACGGAAGTTACTTTATCAACGGTTCTTTTGTGTTTGTTTGCGTAAACCTCACAATAAATTTTACTGAAACAACTACTACTGGAAGCTAACTGGAAGGCAGATAACGACATATGTGGGTTGTGCCATATCGATAACTTCCTTGATTCTCCTTCTCGGAGTCTATATCATATTTCCGGAGCTAAGAACCCTGCCTGGAAAGAATCTGATGAGCTTGTCAATCTCCATGTTGTTTTATCACACTTTCTTTTTAATGTCCGGTCAGACTAACCGCCCACACCTCGGTATGGCAGTATCCATTCTGCTTCATTATTTTTTGTTGTCAACATTCTTCTGGATGAGTGTGATGGCCTTCGATGTTGCCAAGACGTTTACGAAGAAAGGTATTTAAAGAATGACTGTCTTTTGTACTTTTAACACTGAAGTTTTAGGATTTGCTTGACTGCACAGGGCGAGATACAGAATGGGGCAATTCCCAAGCCAGTGGTTTACAGGTTTTTAAATCTTGTTTGCTTGTTATTTACTCTTCCCATGGCGCAAACACACGACATTGGGAGGGAGGTTCAATCCAATTCGAGAACTGTTTATGTACTATGCGTTTTCGAAATTAACACCACAAGGGTTTTTTGTTTGTTTTGTTTTGTTTTTGTTTTGGTAGTGAAAGAATACAGCGACAAAAACTAACTTCTTCCCAACCGGCTCTTGTGAAATAGATATTGGAAATTCACTCAACCCTTTAGAGTAATATGGGATTTTTGTTTTCCGTTTTATATTTGAAATCAGATAAAGGCTTCTTTAATTTTTATCCTAGGCGTCAACTTCTGCTGGATTTCTAATGGGAAAGCACTACTTGTTGTCCTTGGGGTACCCGTGCCTCTAATTCTCATGTTTAACTGTGTCGCAATTACTATCACGCTGTTGTCCATTTGGAAAGTTCAGAAGGTACTTTACCAGCCTAGAACACAAAACAAAAAGTCTTGAGTCAACGAGTCTAATGTCTTCCTTCTTCTCTTAATGTTATTATCCTCCTGAATTCTGAGTTGTTGCTGTACCCATATAGTAAGCAAGGGTTTAACGTGGGGATTTGTGCACACTTGAAAACTGATGAGGTTTTAAAATTTGTTTCAATACAGCAGCCTATACCTCTCGCATAACACTCGACAAGAGGGTGACCTATAAATTGACTGTATTTATTTATATTTTATTTTATTTTATTTATATCTATTTTTTTATATTCCCAGTTAGATTACACGGCGGGTGACAGATCAAAAGGCGAGCCTTTCCATCTTGTGCATCAAGCTGTCATCTGCCTTGGGATTTACGTGGCTGCTGGGATTTATTGTTCCGTTTGCTGAAGTCGACTTTTTAACGTATCTGTTTGTCATTTGCAACAGTTTACAAGGTCAGTTTGTCATCAAAAAACTTCTTCCGTTAAACAGGCTATTAACGGTTGATACAAGATAATTATTTCGCAATTAAGCATGACCTATTCTAATTCCTTTTTCGACTGATCAGACATTTTTAAGCTGTCGGTACATAAGGCCTTTAAACTTTAACTATTTGGTTATTATTTTTTTTACACCTGATTCCACCTCGTCATGCTCTTTTAAAGTTACTTGTTGTTATTAATTGAAATCATTTTCTGTATTCATCATTGTGTGGCTCACTGGACGTGCACGTCCTTAAAATCGAAAATCAAATATATATATTTGTTATATAGACACGAGTGTTTTACTGGAAAATACACCACTTGTAAAATTCATAAAAACTACATCCGGGACCCGAGTGGTTTATTTTCCATAATCTCACACGTTAGTTTTTCCATGACGTAATTTCGGTAATTTCCCTCAATAATTTGTAGGCGTCAGGCGTCCTTTGAATTTTAATTACACATTTTTCAAAGCTTTGCTTATATTTTGTCAATGTAGAGCCCTATTCAGCTCAGTGTTATTTCTCCAGATTATTGTAAACAATGTCTTATATTGCTGTACTGTAAATGTGAGCCGTCACAATTACTTTTTGGCGAAAAAAATATATTATTTTATCGATGTCTTTTTGTCTATATAATAAAAAGAACATTACACGGCGGCTTGAAGATATGAATTTTATTTTCTAGTGGCAAAACAATATTTTACGAACGAGCGCAGCGAGGGAGTAAAATATTGTTTTGCCGCTCGAAAATAAAATTCATATCTTCGCGCCACCGGGTAATGTCCTCTCTATATAAAAATGTTCGAAATAAAAAAGCTAATCGCCATTTAGCATAAGAATTTCTGAGCTTGCAGGTAACCAGTCGACGTTAACGTCAGTTACAAATATATCATATCCAAAGAAAGTTAAAATACCCGTTACATTGACTTTAATTTTTACAAAGAGTAATTAAAAGTAATAAGCTAGTTGATTAACTTAGCTATGAACGATTTAAAGTCGTCGTGACACGTAGGTCTATATAAATGTTACCATGGTAATCCAGTTTTGACAGCTTCTTTTTTTTTTTTTTAATTTGCATTTTCTCTGTAAAAAACTGAGGTTCTATTCGTAGTTGCTGAATTACTATGTTACACTTAACTCAGCATTGCATTATCCTACCAAAGTAATTAAGGCTGCCAAGAATATAATCCAGGTTGTTTTGGTGCCTAATTAAGAAAAAAGAAACACAGAGTTTAAACCCAAAGTTAAAAAAGGAAAGAAAATGACAGTTGGTTCTAATTCCTCCGTTTAATAATAAATTCATTGAGCATGACGCAATACTCTTGTTTAAGTTTATTAGTTTAGTAGCCAACTTCTTGGTTTTATCAGACACCTCACTACTTACGTATTTTCCGTTACATTGAAGGAAATTTGAACTCTGTCAATAACACGCCGGGCTGACAGGGAGGCGGAAACCGACCAGTAAAAGACTGCTCTTACAGTTTTTATCTGTTTGAGCTGAAACTTTGCAGGATTATAGAACTTAGAACTCTTCATGTTTTCATGGTTTGAAAATATTGAATTTCATCGTTTTTGGCCGGAAAATGACGTCACAAGATTGACAGCAAAACTTAACTTTCAAATGACATCGTAAAAAGTAGACGATTTTGAAAGACCGTGGCAAGACAAAAACAAATGTGATTTTTTTCCAAAACATCAATTGGTTGAGGATATAAAGCATTGTGAATTTTTTCCTTTATTTCTGAAAGTGGTATTAAAATGGCAGGAAATTCAAAATTTAAAGCTTAATAATTCTGTAACCAATCAAGCTCTTCGAATTCATAAAAAATAAATAATAATAATAGTAATAATAATAATAATAAACACTCACATTGTTTAGTTACTATCTTGTCACGGTCTTTTAAAATCACCTCCTTCTTACGCTGTCAGTTGAAATTTAAATTTTGCTGTCAAACTGGTGACGCAATTTTCCCGCCAAAAAACCGTTGATATTAAAAAATATATATATAGGGAAAATTCAAAGTTCTACAATCCTGCAAAGTTTCAGCTCCAACAGAAAAAACTGAAAGAGAAATTTTCTACTGGATGGTTTCAGCCTCCTGTCATTCCGGCGTGAAATTCAACAATATGACGTAATAATTACGTCAAATTAAGCCTTCCAATGTTGGAAATAATGAGTATGTTTTAGTCAATCTTTCATTTCAGGTAATTTTTTATTTTCCTCTGCTTCAAATTCATTAGCGTACATCACCATACCAAAAAAGAATGGAAAAATAAAAATTACCTGAGATAGAAAATTAACTACAACAAGTACGTTATTCCTTGTAATTCAACTTTCAGGGTTCTTCATTTTCCTTGCTTTTGTGGCAAATAAGAGGACACTCGTTAAAGTCAAATGCGCGTGGGGATCGCTTTCCAAGTCTGATGGGTCGACAAACACCACCTCAAACACTGGCAGGAATAGGGCAAAAAAGACAAGCAAGGACGAACAATTAGCTGCAACTACTGCTTTGTAAACAGGACGCTGGGTTCTGTGCTTGTGGCTTTAAGTTTCCGAACACAGTCTACCTTTGAAATGACAGATGGCTTCATTGCAGGCTGCCTGCAATGTTGATGCCGTTTATGTGTTTTTTCCCCGCACTTGGTTTTGCAGAAATCTGGGGATCACGAAAAACGAAATAAATCTAATAGAGCTTTGGTTATAAATCATAAAAATTTTTCCCTTCTCAAAAGTAAATGCAAATATTTTTGGTTTGCTAGAATCCTTTTCTTGGGGAGATGCCAGATTTTGGAGCTTTAGTTTGTCAGTAAATGCGCACGTTTTATAATTTTGTTCGTCTGCGGTTCGTTTCTTGGCACCAACGTTCAACTTAACACCAATAGAGTGACTTGAGAATAAGTAGGTCCTCTAAAAAGTGAATTGTGATTGATATTCTTAGTACAAAAAAGACGTTATAAGAGAGCAATATCCGATATTCAGCAACTCTAAGTGAAAAATCATGGTCAATATAGAATTTACTATAAGGCCAAATAATTGTCATTCCCAATGAGTTGAAATGTTCAATCTTAACATCCGTTCGAGTAGCCAATCACGACACATGATTCGTCTCAATCTTGCCACAAGCATCTAGCCATATATTAAATTCCGTTTTTCTTTGTTTTGATTTATTTTGTTTTTACCTTAAAATACCGATCCCATTGAGGTAAAACAAAAATGATCTTAATTTGCAGCAGCATGTGTAAGCAGTATGTTATACCATGGATACGAAATTAATGTTCGAAGCCAACAAACAGGTAGTTTAACAACCTTATCTTTAAATGTAGTGAAGCATTTTAGAAAACATAGTAGTATTTTTTACTTTTTTTGTATAGTACCGAAAAAGGGAAAAAATGAAATCATTCTTGACAACGTTACCTTATAGTGACATGAATAAGGTTTTGATTAGGGATTAAATGGCACTGTTAGGGCATTTTAAGCTCTGTCGGTTGTCATAACTAACAGTACCATCGGCTATATTTCCATTCTTTTATTAGAAACATTTTTAACAGTTAGCTTTGTTTTTGCATGCGTGACATACTCCTTTACGTAAATTTCTTCGTATACTAAACCTAAACATTTTCTACCCCAAACCACTGCTGCACAGCACGTATGTATGACTAACAGGGAAATGTATTAACTTTCAAATTGATAAATTCATGCGGTGCAGCCGTTGTGCACGAATTTTAAAATCTGTTGACTTCTTGAATGTTCGACCATTGCTGCAAAGATATCAATACTAAATTACTCACCCTACTGTGAGAGAAACTGATATAATTCGTTTCACAGCCAGTATGGACATTATACAAGTCATATTTCAATTTCCAGTGAATTTTGTATTCTAATGTAAATAAACTTTAATCGATGAATACAGTTGCAATGCTCGATAATTAATAATGTAGCTGTTTCTTTGTCATTTTCTTCGCTCCAGAAACGTACATATTTTTCCTTGGTATGTTAAAGTATTTCATATGCTGCATTATTAGTACTAAACGCGCGACAAACTAATCACTCGTTTCTTTCGTTCGAATAAGAAAAAGAAAAAAAGATCACTCGTTTCTTTCGTTCGAATAAGAAAAAAAAAGGATGTCTCTTATCACGTAATTTCCGATGAGTCATCCAAGCTAAAACTCGAGGCTGAGGAAAAGGAAATGGAAAAAGCGATGTATCTATAAAGTGTCTGCCCTTAACCAACCAAATTCTCAGGAGGACGTGCAGTAATAAGCTGTTGAGCACTTCGTTGTGTAACTGCGTCCTGGATGCAAACGCAAGTCAAAGCAACGATGCTGGTGAACAATAATGTTACATTTTTTTTATACTTTTCCCAGAATTTGCATGGAATAGTCTGGCAGCATTTGTACTCCCGTGGGAAGTTCGTGCTGAAACAAAGCAACTGGTCTAGAAGTATTAAGAAGACCTCAAATAACAAGAAAAATCTTGTTGAGAAACGTGACTAGTGAAGTGTCCTACTGGCTATGGAAAAAACTGACAACATCGAGGTTTACATGTCCTGTTATTTTGGTGTCATTTTATCAACTATTTGTAAAGTTGTAAGACATTTTATTCCCCAACCTCGTTTTCATGCATAGTCTATTAGGCTAATTTTTTAACCCCCCTGAAAAGCCTCGGTTCTCAACAAGATTTTTCTTGTTATTTGAGGTCTTCTTAATACTTCTAGACCAGTTGCTTGCTTTCAACACGAACTTCCCACGGGAGCCGTATTTCTTACATATGCTCCTGGACTAGAAAGGCTTTTCTTCGTGCTTATCAACAAAGCAGCGACTCATTGAGCTGCAAACCGGCCGAACAGATTTAGCAGGTTTTTCGCTTAGAACGGCCATATTTTTGTTTGTTTGTAAATTCTAGTAGTTTGGTAGGATATTTCTCGAGCTCTACGAATTGAACGGAGTCAGGCCTGTCAAGTGAACATACAAATAGATGTCCCGTCGAAAGAAACAGCTGAGTTTCTAGTATACACAGCTTGAAATGGATCCTCCAAGAATACCGATTTTGCCACCAACTCTATTGGGAAAAGGGAGAGGAGGAGGAGGGTGGGAAGGATAGTGGGGGGGTGGGGAGATAGTGACAGACGACAAAATAACATTTCGACGTAATTGACCAATCAGATCAATAATCAGAGTATAATACCATCAACTGACGTGATACAACTCACTTTGACTCTGAAAATGACTACCGCACAGGTTGTCGAAACGTCAGTCACTGTCAACAACGACAGTCCTATTTAGGATTACGTTCACCCGGACGATCAAAATCAAGCTACCTTTGAAATGACTCATGGGTTCAAACCTTTTAAATAGTGCAAGGAATTTGAAATTCGAAAAAATATATATACTTCTTGTAAACTTTTCATTTTTTTCTTTTTCCTGAAATTTAAAACAGATCGATCTTTTGGATATTGTGTTGTTAATTGTGTGTTAGTTTTATTTTTTTCTTTAATAATTAAGAAAATTGCTATAAATGGTTCGTTGTATGGAAATTTTGTATTGGTGTTGATGTGCCGTCATCGACTAGGCAAATGCAGACTTGGCCCTAATTAATTTTAAGATGGCATATTTTTGTCATCATGTGACGTCATAGTCTGTTGTGTGATCGAGTTACGCCAAATCAAAGTACTTAAAAAAAACAACTACTACAAGAAACACATAACAGCAAACAAACAAACGGACATAAACAAAAGGAAAAAAATAAGAAGTTAACCTTGTGGCCACTGTCTCCAATTTAATCGCGTGTAGACTCATTACGCTTACCAAATTCTCATAGATATTCGCTTTATCTCTCAGTGTGCAGTCGCAGCCTTGGGAACTCTGCATGGCAAATAATGTATTGCTTGTCTTCGATTTGTCTTCTTTTTGGCCTTTTCCTTTCCACGGGGACAGGAATGACACCTTCACCCCGTCTACTTCCATCTGCAAGTTCAAAAGGCCCCGGTTAGTCATTGTACTGTTTCAATGTTGTGATTAGCTTTTAATTCATAACGGAACAAATCAAATTGGGTAATCTTCTTCATAATAATCCTCATTGCCCTTATCATCGTTGTGTTCACCATCGTCATGGCCATTCGCAACGTAAGAAACGAAAAGAAAACTGGGCTGAGTTAAGCCACGGACGTACAAGGGGGACGGGGGGATGCTATCCCCCCATAAGGTTTTTCTGAGTTTTTTCCTAGGGGATAAAACATCAGCACCTGATGTTTTCAGTAGCTGTTCTTTCATCCCTCGGGCAGATTTTGAGACAAGTTTAGTGATGGTCAGCTGCTATCGTTACGAGATATTACGTCATAAGTAGCAGGTGGTCAAGCCAGTTTTGGGTGGAAATACATGTGTTTTCAACCTCTTTGGACAATAACAGTAAATCTTGGGGCTAAAATCATGCAAAATGCTTATTTGTGTGTTATTTTTCATGTAAAGTGCAAAAAAGTACCATTTCTCGAGGTTTTAACCTGATTTCTAATTCATGGCCATGTAAAATCCAAAGTGGCGGCCGAGATGGTGACCGTTGTTGGTGACGTCACAGGCTTCCAGCAGCGCCATCATCCATAAAATATACCTCCTCTTGTTAAAGGGGCACAATCAGCTATGGGGCCGCGCTGACCTGGACACTACTTTTTCCAGTTTGCAAAGCGTTTACATTAACCCGAAATCAAATCCACGCGTCGGATACATCTAGAAATCCGCTTCAATCCTGCCTAGTGTTTCATTGATCCTCGATCTTTTACTGAAAACCTCTTTTTGAGCAAACTTTTATTCATCCTATTGTACATTATTTTATCATATTTGGTTAAAAACAGTATTCAAAGGAACATGAACAGAAGAGGTGACAAAACGCGTAGGCGCCGGGCGAGTGAAATCGCCTTCGTTTACCAAAATAACAAGAGAAATGACTTAGTAACATTGGCGAGCAAATAATCGTTATACATATTTAGAAAATCGATGGAAAAGGTTACATAATTTTGGAAAATCAAGCTTTCCCGACCTTGAACCTTTAACAATGATTCACACTTCGTGCAATTTCTCACTTCTGCTGATGTTCGAATTCGGAAGTATTCGTCGATGTTTGGCTTTCCCTGGGACAAATCCTCCAGTGAATTATCAATGGTATATAAAAACATGAGTGCTTTAATATGGCTTAGGGTCTATTATCACGATGTCAGCTTGTAACTAGTTCAAGGTTGTTTATAGTATTCCGGATACGCCTCTCACTTTCTATTTCTCGCCCGTCTTGTGACATGCAAATCAGCTAAGAAATGATATCTAATGCGCATGTGCATCAGCTGACTGTATCCCTTTAAGAAGATCAAAGGCTTTCCACTAAAGGTAAAATCGTTTCAGAATACTGCAACATATAAAATTCTCCGGAAGGGTTCCATTCACCCCCCCCCCCCCCCCCCCCTTTTTTTCCCGGGGGGGGGGTGGGGATTTTGGTGTTAGAACAAGAGGCCAAGGGGTAAAATTTTCAAAA